CCAGGAGGGCATGGAGCTACCTGCCAGAGAGCAGCAGGTAAGCGCATGGTCCCTCCTGCTAGCCCTCAATGTCTACGTGTATTTAAAATTGAGAGGTGGGCAACGACGCCAGGGGTGAGGTGTACACCCTGATGGTACTTTGGATTCCGTGTATCGTGCCCACCCCCAAGATCCTATATGTATGTGTAATGAGAGTATGAGTAATGTGAATGTCTAAGTTGTGGGATAAAATTGAGGCAGAGGCATCCAGAAGGGGACAGAGGGGGGGGGGGGGGGGGGGATGCCTCCTCTGCACCCTGGTGACATACCCCTACTCCAAGGCCCTGCATGTGTGGGTGGTTGTGGTGGAGCGGGAAGAGGGAGGCAGCTGGAGATGGGGAGGGAAGGAAGGGAGGGGCAAGTGACCCCTCCCTGGGGCCAGCTCCCCCGCTGACCCCAGTAGGCACCCCCATACTCCGTGACCCGCCAGGGAAAGGGGGCCCAGGCCCATCCAGACCGGGGCCCAGTGCAGCAGCGCCGCCCGGCCCCACAGAGCCCGGGACAGTCCACCCAACCCCACCACAGAGAAAACTGCACCCACCCCACCATCCACTCATCTTCCAGACTACATAAGACAATAGACGCCCAGGCTGAGATCTTCCTCCACCTCTCCTGTATCTCCCCCTCCTGCAGAGAGTTCCTGAGGAGAGGAAAGCTCCTGCAAGATGTGAGAAACCATTAGCAAGATAAGGTGAGAGGTGGCGGAGGTAAGTGACGGAAGTGACGGACAAGGTAAGCGACTCATGTTGTAACTGACGTCAGACGCCGGAGATTTTGGCGGAAAATTAAAGCAAATGGTAGTTTAGATTTGAACAAATTCATTTAAGCTTCAGTATTACCAAATACACTTATCAATTGTCTTATAACTAACAATATTTGTCTAAATAATATCCAACACCCTGGAGAACAACGGGGAGAGTTTAGAGGCTCTCCAAGATTATATTGATCAGTGCTTTCAGGATCTCGTGATGAAGAAGGCTCAGAGTGCAGCTTCCCCGGCCAAACCTGAGACGCCATCATCGAAAAGACAACGCTCCAAGGTTTGGAGGCCTATCTCCCCCCACCACCACTTCCCCTGCCAGTGGCGGACTCCCTCAGGTGTCGGTGCGTTGGTGGTTCTTTGTGTCTGGGGGTGGGCGTCCGGGTACACACCGGCTCACTCCTTGGCGGCCGTCTCTTTTCCCCTTTGGTTTTCTTTCTTTCTCTCCCTCTCTTTCTTTCATTCTCTCTCCCTGTCCTATCCCCCAGTCATGTCTGTCCCGTTTGTAGCAACTGAAAATAAAATAAATTCATAATTATAATAAAGGTCAATCAAATGGACCAATATGGCAAGGCCATGATGATCCACTTGGTAAAATAAATCCGCTTGGCATCTTTCTTGGCCTTAAGACAACAATTCTGGTGGCTAAATATCCAAACGGGACACACAAAAAAAAACAAAAAAAAAAACATCCACATAGATGGCAGGACCCAAGGTTTCCCAGCAGAACATTGCCCAAAGAATTATACTGTTTCTTCGCACAGTGCATGATAAGCGATGCACACACACACAGCTATCTGATGTAAAAGAAAATTTGACTCATCAGACAAGGGCACCCTCTTCTATTTCTATGTGGTCCAGATCTGATATATTCTGATACGCATATGTCCCTGTTGTTGGCACTTTCGTTGGCAGACAGGTATCAGTATGGGCACCCTCACTGGTCTGCACCTATGCAGCCCCATACGCAATAAACTGTGATGCACTGTCTATCCTGACACCTTTCTATCAGAACCAACATTAACATGTTGGAACAGTCCAAAGTAATTCCACACTATGTGAATAATCATAAGTCCATAACCTAGACACCTATTGCTGATGTGCTTTGTGCAGTGGATCCGTGAAAGTATCACTAAACTGGCCTACATTAAAAAAAAAAAAAGAAAGAAAAAAAAAAGGAAAGACAACGCCCGGCAGATTCCCCCGGCTCAACATCGCCAGCCGGCAAAGATATTGCCGACATACTGGAGTCAATCGACAAGCGATTGTCCAGTTTCAACGCAAGGCTGTCCTTGGTGGAGATTCTTCACCGAGAATTTAAATGCTTGCGAGAATCCCTGGAGTTCAGCCAGCAGCAGGTGGAAACGCTTGCTGCTGAAAATGCCACGCTAAGGGAGTCGGTGAATTGTCTCACAGAAAATGTTACCCAGCTCAATAGAGAAAATAAAAAAATAAAAGAAACAGTTATTGATCTACAAGCTCGTAGCATGCGTGATAATCTGGTATTTTCTGGTATTCCAGAAGCCACTGGAGAGGACGCGGAGACCACGGTAAAAAGCTTCATCAAAATCCACCTGAAGCTGCCGGAGGACACTGTGAAGAACATCGTCTTCAATCGGGTACATCGCATCGGCCCCATTCGGGATACGGCCGGGAGACCACGTCCTATCGTGGCCAAATTCGGCCACTTCAAACAAAAGCAACATGTGAAAAGCCGCGGCAGGGAATTAAAAGGAACGGACTTCAGCGTGAACGACCAGTTCCCCAAAGAGATCTTGGAACGACGCAGGGTCCTCTTCCCAATCCGACGCGGCTTCATCCAGAAGGGCTCCCGCGCTGTCATCGCTGTGGACCGGCTGTACGTGGACGGACAGCTCCACCGCGACCCGAACATCACTCCGTGGCTGTATTAACCTCACACCAGATAAGAATCAGCTACACCCTTTCCCTATCCACTCACACTAACTTGCATTAACATCTGTTTAACTTACCAGCATCAAATCGCATCTTAAAGTGTGATTTCATAGCAGAATTAACACCATCACTCTCCGTCAGTGATTTAATTGGAATGTTTACGTTTTGTTTCTGTTTTTTTCTTCTCGTTTTTTTTTTTTTCCTCTCTTTTCCCCCTCTTGGTTTTATGCTGCTCACCCCTGTCCTTGGTTTCTTTCTTTATTCCTTTCACTGCCTCGATCACCTGCTTCGACACTCATCCGCAAACATCCTTTATTTCGACACATACGCACCATGCGCTCAACGGCAGCACATTTACTTCAGTCAGACAGCGCACACAGTCGTTTAGGATACACACACTTAAGCCAAGCCTACTCATATTAGTAAATATGCAAACACAAAGTCAGACTCAGGGAGCATCTCGCCACACATTTTTTCTCTCTCTCCTTCTCTTTATTTATGAACAAGTGACGTATTCTCTCCACCTGTCTAAGCGACGCACACAGCATACATCCCTAGTTATACACAAACATCTATGGGTGCACTGAGGTTCATTACATGGAATATAAATGGAGCTGGCTCCAGAGAAAAGAGGTTAAAAATATTTAACCAACTCAAAAAACTACAGGCAGATGTTGTCCTTTTACAAGAGACCCACAGACATCTTAGAGGTTCGAATGAACTTAAAACACCTCAGTTTGCTAATGTGTTCTCAGCTTGTTATAATTCTAGACAAAGGGGAGTAGCAATTTTAATACATAAAAATATTAATTTCACAGTACTCGATACAGTTATAGATCCAGAGGGCAGATTCTTAATCATTAAACTATCTATACTTGATAAAAAGCTATGTATTGCAAGTGTATATGGTCCAAATGTTGATGATCCCTCATTCTTTCACGGTTTTTTCAGTGCACTCTCTGAACACTTAGATGACACACTCAAAACACATCCTTGTGGAGACCCGGTGCTGATTGTGATGGTGCTGGACCGGTGGGGGCCGAGTCTGACAGACTGTGGTCTATTTGTCAGGAAGTCCTTGATCCAGAGGCAGATGGGGTGGAGAGTCCCAGGTGAGACAGTTTCTGGACCAGGATCTCCGGGATGATATGATTGCATACTGAACTAAAGTCAAGAAAGAGCATTCTCACATAGCTTCCTCGGTGCTCCAGGTGACTCAGCGCAGTGTGGAGCGCTATGGTGATAGCGTCCTCAGTGGATCGATTTGTCCTGTAGGCAAATTGGTGGGGGTCCAGAGTGGGAGGCAGACCGGCCCAATGTTGCTTTGGATGATAACATCATCCAGGTATGCAGCAGCATATGTAGCGTGCAGCCACAGCACCCGGTCCATGAGGTGCTGGAAAGTAATAGTCCAAATAAGCTGAACAGAAGTGTGATGAATTAATACAACCCGTATGGCGTGGAAAAGGCAGTTTTTTCTTAGACTTTGCAAACAAGGGAATCTGCCAGTTGCCCTTGGTTAAATGCAGCATTGTGAAAAAAACCAGCAGCGCATAACTGGTCCAGGAGCTCGTCGACCGAGCGCATGGGATAAGCATCAAAGCGAGACACTTCATTCACCTTTCAGTAGTCCACACAGAGAACCATCTTCCTTCACTACAAGAACTATGGGGATACACCAAGCACTGTGCGACTCTTCTGTTACTCCCAGCTAAACATTTCAGTCAATTCCTTTTATGCAATTTGTCTCTTGTGCTCAGGTAACCTGTAGGTCTGTGAATTCAGAGTCATGCTAGGCAGTGTTTCAAAGTGATGCTCCATGAGATTCAGGTGAGATGATACTCACCTGGATAGTACAGCTCATCCATCTTATTAACCAGAGACGTTTAGTTACGTCTAAAAATAACCCACGATAGGTGAAATCCACAAAGTAGCCAACTTTATTTTTTACAATTATTAGAGATGTTTTAAGGCTGTAAAACCCCTCACTACACACTTTATACACTTTTCTCTCGTTTAAACACTCTCAAAGTTCAAACCTTCGTAGAAAAATAAGCGCAGTATTAGTATTAAACGTTTCATTGACATTTTTGTGTTTGTTGGAAAAAGCTTACAAACATACAGTACAGCACTTTAGTCACACTGCTAGCGACTGAAGATTTAGGTAAATTTGACAAGCTGAATGCATTCTGTACTGTACAGGAGACACTGCAGGAGATTGATTGATAATGGTCTACAGCCAATCAGGATGCAGGACACAATGTGCTTTAAAAAAAAAAAAAAAAAAAAAAAAAGCATGTAAAATTGCACAAAAGAAATCTGTGAAAGGTGAACCACATAGCGAGGGACCACTGTATTATTATTTCATATCATTATCACAACATACTAACTTTAATTACACAACACAGAGATTGACAGTTATCCAATATACAGCAAGTAAAGGAAAACATTTCCAAAAACAAACAAAACTTAAAGTTTTGGAACAGGTTAGACCAATCTCACATCTAATAAACTGGAAGACCTTGGCTTCCATGATATCATTTTCTCTCTAGAAAGAGTACGACTTCTGACTTGTGTGAGTTTTCATGTGGCGCAACAATGAACAACTAAAACCAAACATTTTCCCGCATGCTTTACAATGATATGGCTTCTCACCAGTGTGAACTCTCATGTGCTTCCTTACATCACTACTGTATGCAAACATTTTCCCACATGCTTTACAAGCATATGGCTTCTCTCCCGTGTGCGTTCTCATGTGGCTCGATAAAGAACTTGTACTTGCAAACATTTTCAAACAGGTTTTACAAGGAAATGGTTTCTCACCAGTGTGAACTCTCATGTGCTTCAGTAAATCACCACTCCATGCAAACATTTTGTTGCATGTTTTACAAGGATATGGTTTCTCACCAGTATGGATTCTATAATGTCTTTTGATTTCATAATTCTGCTTAAAAGCTTTTCCACAAACATCACATTTGAAAGCCCTTTTGCTTGTGTCAGAGGGATTCTCTGATGTAGGCGAATCATCTGCATTCTTGTGACTTTTTTTTCTATTTCTAGTTGATCCTGAATCTACAGTCTTGCTTCTTTCCTGAGACTGTCTTTCAGTTACATCAGAGCTGTGAGAGAGAAGTTGATCCCAGCTGACTGGGTCTGGTTTGCTGTGGTCACTTTCCTTATGAATAAAAGTCACCATAAAGGTATCCGTCTCCTCCTTCAGTCCCAGCTGCTCTCCCTCCTGACTGCTGCACAGTTCCTCCTCTTCCTCTTTAATCTTTGGAGGTTCTGGTTCCTCCTGCTCCACACTGGAGCTCCTCTCCTGGTTACAAAGCTGCTGCTCAGGGAGAACCTCCTCCTCCGAGGAGACGTGTTGCTGTGGGACGTCTAGAGGGACGAAAGGAGAAAACAAATACACTTGAGATTCTCTAAACTCAAGTCACTAATTTTAAGGGTGGAGAAAGCAAAACGATGCAATGGAGTATTAGGGACATATCAAAAAATATATATGTCATTGATCATTTTGAGGAAAAGTCAAAATGTGGAGATGTTTTAAGAAACTGCCGTTGCTGCTGTACTCTATAAAATGCCTTGTGCAGATGAGTCCTGTGAGACAACATCGATCCTCTTTACTCTACGAGGTTGTAACCATCGATGACCTCACATTTGTCCACGACTAGCTGTTTCATTTTGTGTAAATCTCCTTCATGTTTGTTTTTTTCCATCTGAGCATGCACAGCTTTCTGTACCATCTCTTCAGCCCTGACTTTATAAAATGAAAGCCAAATCATTCAAGTACGGCCTCACTAACTCAGAGAACAGTTTGTCTTGAAACAACTAATCTTCACATTGATTTTTTTCTCTAAATACAATTTAGATTTTTTGACCTATACGACCTATAAAGAACTGAAAGACAAAAGAAAGTGTCGTCAGATCACAAGCTGTCCCAGTGGCTTCAAGCGCACATTCAGGCCTGTGAGACTCATTTAGACACACTGAGCCATGGCTCTGTGCTATATGCACACATTTCTGCATCTCTGCCATTCAAACACACGTCATCCGCTATCCTTTTCAGGGTCGCGAGCCTATCATATAAACACACGTCATATATAGTTTATTTTACGTAATATTCAAATGTTGTCTTTCTCAAGCACTTTTCATTTTGTGTTTCCATAAGTCTTATTTAGTGCATTTATTACTAATAGAGAGAACGCACATTTTAAGACCAGACACGTTTGAAACCTTTTGTCCTCCACAGTGAAAAATGGCTGAAAATAAAAGCAGCTGCTAGTTTGATCAATTCTGCAGCTTTGCAGTCTCCAGTATCACTGAAATGCAGCCAGATGTTTGTTTTATGTTTCTTCACTTTTTCCCGACATGCTTGAATTTAAATCCGGGTCCCGTCTCTCTGTGTGCCTGCCTGTAGCACTACATATGCTGTCTTCAAAACGTCTGCCCCCCTTTATTCTTCCATGTAATGGTATGGTCCCAGTGTGTCTTTCCATGTGATTGGCCACATGGTGTGCCCATCAAAATAAAGTCCCACCCCTGTCTGCATGGATTCTAAGCAGGCTAAAGATTCAGCTCCGACATATAGACGGGCGATTACAGTTTTGCTGAATTGCTAAAACACTAAATCCCATTGTAAAAATTATACTGCCAACTATGAAAACTCTTTCATTAAATCAATCCCACAGATGCCAAAATCTGAAACACTGTTCATCTGGTCAGGACACCATTTGCAAATCTGAATCTCCCATTTACCAAACTCTAAACTTTCAAACTCAAAACACATTTAGCAGTGTGGCGCACTTGTACCCAGAATGATGGACACAGGCAACAGAAGCGAAACACAACTAACACACAGTTTTCATCATTAACACACTACCACTCATAATTTAAAACACATGTTGCAACCAACAGCTTCATCCACAAAGATGTATTCACAAGGCCTAACCGTTGAGTCAAGCTCAAAGATTCTCTGTACACAACAAACTCATTTTAGTTCTGTAAATGAAATAGTCTGATATACTTGCATAGCACATGTTTACATCATACTATCTTATGCCACGTTATAACTCTAAGTAAAGATTGTGAAATCATTATGTAGTTTTAGGCTGCATTATTCTCCTGACTTAGAAGAAGGTGATAACTATTACATTTATTAAACTGATTTGTATTACATGAGACTGCTGCTTTATTGTGGATGAATTACATTGTTTATGATGCATTATACTGCTGATTCATAAGTAAAACTGTTTTCAGAGAATCATGGCGTTATTTGTCTGATTAGGAAGAACAGAACACACTGCACAGGAAGCCAAGGTCATAACTTAGGCTCACTGAGAGAGTAAGAATGTGGATGTTTAGGTTTTATGACTGTGGAAGGGGGGGCCAAAGCTCTAAGAATGCGAGAAACGGTCAGACACTTTGGCTACGTTCACACTGCAGGCGAAAGCGCATCAAATCCGACTTTTTTGACCCTATGCGACTCATATCCGATCATGGTGTGACAGTGTGAACGGCACAAATCCGATATTTTCAAATCCGATCTGGGTCACTTTCGTATGTGCTATTTACATTATTATGTAAATAACAAAATAACTTAAAGCAAAAATTGGGAAACATAAAGTCCGAAGTCTTTATATTAAGAGCCATCAGTCAAACATATTGTTTGGTCTGGGTCTAAACAGAGCGCGTTGTGTGTGACGTCTTCTTTTGCGCATGCGGTCGCTTTGAGCATTCACACTAGAGCGCGTTTGCAGTCGCATTTTATTTGTAGTGTGAACAAGCAGACGGAAAAAAAAATTGGATTTGATCAAAAAATCGGAATTGAGCATTAAGACCTGCAGTGTGAACGTAGCCTTTGAGATCTGGCAGACGCCTTCCAGTCCACATCTCCCGTCTAGACGTTTTTTAATGCTCAAAGTGTTGTATGGAATAAAGAGATTGTTGATTGAGCATTTATACACCAGGTGTTGTTCTTCCTTCAGCCCAAAGAATTGGGAGATTTAACAATACTTATAACTAAATGGTATTTTGCTTAGAATTGAAAGATGGCCAAATGAGGGTGGAAGAACACGCATGTGCTCACAACACCAGTAGGGCTGGGCGAAATGATTATTTTCCCTAATCGATGAATCTAGCGATTAATTTTACAATCCGATTCTATTTTAATTTTATTCGATTATAAGCACTTTAACAATGTTGTAATACTGTCCACGACGGCTATGCTTAGCAGGTGGTGCATTATCCTCGTTAACATTTTTCCTGCGGCCAATTCGCTGTCTCACATTTTCGTCTTTCGCAGATTCCCATAATCAGCCTGCGCGCATTCCGACTCATTTTGCCAGCATGGGCCACAAATAAAAACCAACTAAACAGCAGCTTAAATGAGTTTTGCATTTACGGAGGTTGAGTGTTTTTCTCTGTTTCTATGAGTGAGTGTATGCCTACGAGGGGGGTGTCTGGATGAATTAAAGAGTAAAAAGCAGTGTTGGTAAAAAAGTTGAAAACATACGGTGGTTTGTCCTTTGCAGAAGCTGCTCCTGGATGCTGTCGTTTGAGGTGCTGGTGCATAGCCGTCGTGCTTTTATGATAGGCCATTTCCACCTTACAAAGTCGGCAAATGACTGAAACACTTCCTTTTCTGTTAAAATATCCCCATACTGTAGAATTGCGAATTCGGGTGGATTGATTTAAGTCGACTGCGGCTGCCTCAATCATGTTGCTGCTACTCGCTGCCGCCATGTCTGTTTTGAAAGTGACGACGCATCGACGCACGTTTTTTTTTTTTTTTTTTTTTTTAACGTCGACGTAATCGATTACGTCGACACATCGTCCCAGCCCTAAACACCAGGAGACACTTATTGTGGATATGGTCCGTCAAAATAATGCAATTTGACTGCATGAAATGCAGCAAGGGAATATAGAAGACAACATACATGTTGAATCTAGCAAAAAGGAGAAGAAAAGGTTGCAATGTCATAGGTCAATGTGCCACTATTGAACTGCATGGCCAGCGTGGTGGAAATGTAACTGTGCTGCCATCAGCAGCTGTGGGTTTCTCCACAGTCATGTTACTGTTGGGCTGTACAACAACGAACTTATAGCAACATTCCTGGATGGTCTACAGGATGCTTTGCTTGAGTAGAGAGACCGCGAGCAGGCAGAGCATCCCATATCATTTGGGACAATGTGAGCTTTCACTGTGGTTCAAAATTATGCAACTGGTTTCACAATGAGCAGCATTTTATCAATGTGTTTCTTCCACCATACTCTCCCTTTTGAACCCTATTGAGGTGTTTTTCTCAGCACGGAGATGGAAAGTATACGACCGAAACCCTTACACACAGGAAAATCTACTTCAAGCAAAGAATGGAGCATGTGGTGAGATGGGACTGGAATCTTCTCAGGGCTGGATCTGGAATCTCGTTGCCTTGCAAGGCAGACCATAACATATGATGTGGATGAAGTCCTGTGGCCTGACCCAGCACAGAGGTGTGATGCTGAGGCAGATTAAGTTACCTGAATATGCTGTAAAAATATATAATTTTTTAATGTATAAATATATATATATATATATATTTTTTTTTTTTTACGGCAGTTTTCTTTTTGTCAAAATGTGAGAATAAATGAATGAACAGATAAATATTATTTTCCAGCTCTCTCACAGTGTTTTGTATTTATTTCTGTAGTGTGTAATCGTTGCTAAGTCGTGTTTGCACACTGGCTGGTTTTGTGTGGTTTTTGACAGTAGTGCTTGATTTTGACAAAAGTTAAAATAGTTTTGGGTCAAATGTTTGGTTTTGCAAGACAAGTCGAAGATTTTGTGTGTGTAGCTTGAATTTTGGAGTTTGTGTTTAGTGTTTTGAGACAAAGAGATGAGATTTAAGGAAATGTGTTTTAGCAATTCAGAAAAACCGTAATAACTCACATAAGAAATTATCACGGGGGCTGGATATTAGGGCTGCTCGATTATGGCAAAAATGATAATCACGATTATTTTCACTGAAATTGAGATCTCGATTATTTGACGATATTTATTTAACCCATAAGACCTACTATAGAACCAAGTCTGCCAGAGCTTATATTATATTTTTACATGTTGTAGTGCCATTGGTGGGAGCATTTCAAGTTGCTATACAACTGTTATAGCTCATATTTTAATAATATGTCTGCATTAAGTCCATAGTAATTACATTAATTGCAAAAAGTGCAATAAACTACAAAAAAAATTGAAAATCGTTTTTGGGTTTTTTTTTTTACATATATTTCTACTTGGAGAAATTTAAGAGGTTTATCCCTCAAAACTTTAAATACAAAAAAGTTGCAAAAAATAGTTTACAACAACAGGAAATTTATTTTGAGTGTCTTTATAGTTTTATTTTGGAGATACATTAATTTTTATATACTGCAGGAAAAACGAAAAAACAATCCTATGATGCAAATTTGCAAAGAAAACAGCAGTTGCATCAAAATAAATTTCCGCGAAAATGACGTCACTTTCGGGCAGGAAATGGCGGACATGTGACAGTTCGCTCTGACATCTGTTTAACTGTGGGAAGTGTTACGAACAGCTGATCGGATCGGCAAAGCGTGTTTCTGGAATATTATGTTTTTGTTCCTGCAAGAGCTTTTTATGCAGTTTTTGCAAAGCTTTATGTGGAAGGAAACCGTGACCGAGGACAAGCTGATGGCATAAGATGCAAGTACAACTCCTCCGGTTTCATATGCAAAACAAATTATTGCGCTAGCTTACACGGTTCAGGTTCTACAGGGATTTAAAATAGTTACACAAAACGGAGCGTGCTGCTCTGACCGGTTTTAAAGGGTTAACAATGACTTTAAAAAATAATATAAAATAGTGTGCAACACCACTGAAGTTTTTTTACCTCTCTTTTCCAAATAACTTCTGCTTAGCTTTCCGAGCTTCCCTCGGGTCCTCTTAATCAGCGGTCTCCAACCTTTTTTGCGCCACGGACGGTTTATGCCCGACAATATTTTCACGGACCGGCCTTTAAGGTGTCGCGGATAAATGAGGGAGGGGCTAATAATCGGCTCCGTCATTTTTAATGATCGTTGAAAGCCCAGATCGTAATCGTGATTAAAATTCGATTAATTGAGCAGCCCTACTGGATATAGCTGTATTCTAGGCCGAATGTGGCCCGCGGGCTATAAGTTTGACGCCCCGGATTTAACACATTCACACAGGTTCATTATTTCCTGCATTTTCACAGACATTTCACTTTTATTAGTTACAGGTTCAGCTGAGAGAATTTGCTTGCCGTTTACACACGGCTGAGAAAATGGAGTTAAACTTGTTCTCTGCTTCAGTAAAACCATTAAAGCATCACTGAGGAGCAACGCGAGGGCTCGACTCTAAACACTCAATGTGAGAACTGATGAAGAGTTGGGATCTGAAAAACTGGATTATAGGTGGCAGACAGTTGGTGTTGTAAGCCACCGCCTCCAGTTCTGAGATCCTTCCCAGATGCTTTAACGCCCACTCACATCCTGGCCACTTAAAGAAATCCAGACACTTTTCTTTCCAAGCTCCTTAGACTACGATGACCTGGAGGACTGAGAACCTTCACAGACCTTTGTAATGAATAGTTTTCATATTTTGTTGTTGTTTATATGAGCTGTGTGAAACAACAGGGTTATAACTGTCTGTGGTGAATAAAGATGTATTTTATAGTCCACCCTCTGCACATTGCAATTTGAATTTGAGTTGAAGTGAGTTCACCCATCAGAGCGAAACTCGCCTGTCCTCTGTTTGCTCTTTGTTAGCTCACATCTCCAAAAAGTCCTCACAATCAGAAACGTCCCGCAGAGCTGTGATCAGGATCCTCCCTCAGAGGGACACTCACCTGTCCTGTGCAGCTTGATTTGGGGTTTCCAGGTGATATCCAGCAGTCTGCGCTGACGGTCGATCTCTTCCTCGTACTGGACGATCGTTTTTTCAAACTCCAAGAATATTTGTTCAGCAGCAGCAGTTAGTCGCTCGTTGATGAACTCTCTCAGATACTGAACTGAAGGCATCGTTGCTGCCGCAGCTCACACACTCAGCTCACACAACAACACTCGGCTCGGTCACATAGGAACAAAGCTAATGCTACTTCCGCATTTGTGCAGTTCACTTCCGTCTACTGTTGCACAAGGAAGTTCCGCCAAAACAGGACATTTTACTCGTTGTTCCGCCTTGAAAAAAGTTCTTATCGTTGAGGTTTTAGTTGGGATATTTTTCTGGATTTCTTAATAACAAAAATACATCCGAACAGATTCTAAACATGAAACAGTGACGAAAAAGATCGTTCATGAATAAAAACACTGTGAATTTCATCTTGCAAACTGTCTCATGATATTCAACTCATGTCTCATCTAATCGTGGATGGAAATCAGTTTTTGTGTTAGTGTGGGCGTGCACGAGCAGCGTAAAATAGAAAAAGGGTTTATTCATGTATTTGCTAACAGAAAGAGTGATCAATCCACTGAATCCAGCCTGTCAGTAATGTTTAATACTTAACATCACTGTATATTTTACTGTTTCACTCACTTCGATGTTGGAGGTTCAAAATCATCCACAGGCCCCGCCCACATACGTCCAGCTCAACCAATGAGATGATTTCTGTCTGGAGAGCAAAAAGTTTGAGGAAATAAAAGCACAACCTGGTGAATCTTCTGCAGTGGAAGAACATTGTTCATGTGCTGTCTGTCTGTCTTCAGCGGCTCCAAAGACATGTTGCTGCACCTCTTTTTGTTTTCATCTCACTACTTTTCCTCATTTCCACTGTCTTCTCCTCTCAGCCTCATGGACAATGTTAGTCTGATGGCTTCATTTTCTCTACTTTTTCCAGGACTAACAGCTGGAGACTCAATCACTCCTCAACGAGATAAAGTCACTGAAACAGAAGGAGAATCTGTCAAACTCACATGTAGCTATGAGACAACTTCAAGTTATCCTCTACTTCACTGGTACCGACATCATTCTGACCTTCAGGCTCCTCAGTTTATATTGTGGAAAGGAAGGAGACAGCAGACAGGTGAATATATTCCTGATAAACGTTATAAATCAGAAACATCACCTACATCAACTAATCTGACCATAGCAGCCCTAACCCTGGCAGACACAGCTCTCTACTACTGTGCTCTACAAACACAGTGATACAAAGTGTAGAAGAGGCTGTACAAAAACCTGAACACAGATATCTGACTACTCTTCAAAGAGGAGGGAAGTGGTATTCAAAGCACAGCTTCATATCAGATGGATTCTGCTAATTCCTGTTTTATCAGAGTCACTGTGGTTACAGCTGCTAATGAAACACTGTGGGAGGATTCACATGAGCAGCAAATCCACATCAACCACAAACCAACTGCAGGAACGTTCAAGGACAAAGACATTAGGGAATACAGTCAAACAGCAAAAGCTATATTTGATAAACAAATGTATCAGATTTAGCATATTTAAAATGTGCCTAATTTTGTGCTTAATGGTGTGCAAATCTTAATCAGAAAGAAAGTTATTGGAGTAAAATCAGAGTCAGATAAGCAGTGGCTGCAAAAGTTGAAGCTTTTGTGGAAACTCCTTCAGAAGCAGCAAATCATTTTGCTGCCGTCCTTTCATAATTGTTATTCCGTGTCTGAGATGTTAAAATGATACCACAGTCAATATCTGGCCTTCATCAACTTGTTGGGGTGAGATGTTTAAGCTTGTGTTTGTCAGTTTAATTCATTGTTATCTATATTATATATATCTATATATCTTTGTCTAAATCTATGCAGTATTCCCTCCATTATTGTGGAGGTTTCGTTCTGGGAACCCCAACAATAGGTTAAAATCCAAAAAGAAGAATCGACATGTTTATTCTGATATTTTTATATATTTTCAGCCATAAAAACCTTCCCCTCTTATAAACCCGTTCTTCTCTTTTAAACACACTTTGAGACGCATCCTTACATACTGAGTGAAAAGTTATCGTCTGAGTCCACCTGAGACAACCAATGCAACAAGTTGGTGAGGGGAGGAAGACACAATAAAGAAATGCTGTTGAAGAGAGCCGGAGAATAATAATAACTAATGATTAAAATGGAGACAGTTATCTAAACTCATAGTGAGTGAAGCAGCCCAGACCTGCTTAAAAGCTGAACAGTTTTAAGCAGCTCATAACTGCAGAGAGGGATGCTGGATGAAATGACGTCACAGCTCTGCTAGGTCCAAACCTCGTCCATGATTAGCATCTGCACAACAACTTCATGGCATAAATAGATATTTTTTATTGACATATTGTCTGATGCTGAAATTTATTGGGATCTATTTCCATTGTTTACCTGACAACATCATACTTTATATTCTACCACAGCTGTTTTTTTTAATATATTAAATATTTCTGAAGAAGCTCAGCTCGAAGGTGACATAATCTGGGAATACTTTTTGGCCCAAAGTGGAAGACAAATGGGGGGGGGGGGGGGGGGGGAGAGATCCCTGTATTTTTAACTCCAGTGACCCTCCCACCTCACAGGGTTTCAAGTTTGCAAACCACAGGAGGAGGAGTGACTGAGAGCAGAGAGGAGGAGCAGAGATTCAGGGAGGAGCTGAGCTGTTACTGAACTATAGAAGAGAGAAAAACCTCCACATTCAACAGAGTTCAACACAAAACAAACTTTATGTTCCTCAACATGCTGTCATTACATCACTGTGTGTTTCCTCTGATTCTTCTCACTCTCACAGGTCTGCTCACCTACACAGGAAACTATGTTCAACTCAAATGATTCATTAACGTCCCCACATTTAATACTGTCATCTCATCTTTCAGGTGTGGGCTGTGAAGACCTCACTCCATCCAAAGATGAAGAGTCCAGTGTAGAAGGCAGCACAGTTACTCTGACCTACACTTACTCTAAAGGTGCTGCTAATTATTTCTTCTGGTATCGACAACATCCAGGAAAAGCACCTGAGCTCCTGATCTCACACTCACCTTCAGGAGAAGTAGGAGAAGAAAAAACTCCTGGACTGAAGATTCAAGTGGAGGGAGAAGAAATCAAGATGAGCATCTCCTCTGCTGCAGTGTCTGACTCTGCTGTGTACTACTGTGCTCTGCAGCCCACAGTGACAGGAAACAGCAAAACTCTGTACAAAAACCTTTGGAGCAAAGACAACAGAATACTCCACAACATCCACTAGAGGGAGCCACACACCTTTGAATCATAACACAGCTGTGATGAGCTTCAGGGGAAGTGAATGAGATGTGAGCCTCCTCCTCCTCCTGACTGCAGAAACCTGTCTGACTCCAGCTGTGAACATCAGACCAATCACAGCAAACTCGCAGTAAATTGATGTGGATTTCATCCTGACATATACACCTGTATACACTAGAGACGTAATCGTAGTTACTTGGATAAATTGTGTGTAATGATATATACTCATATATATATGCTTGCTCCCAATGAAGTGTTTATATGGGGGAGTGACTGCATGAAGCATTTAACCTGCATGTTCAAATCACATGACCCATATATTAAGGGTAAATATATCTACCATTTATTAGTGAAGAACTAAGATAAGATAGAACTTTATTAATCCCTCGGGTGGGTTCCTCTGGGAAATTTGGTTTCCAAAAGCACAGCACCGACAGAAGTTACAGAGTTACAGAATATTATATATATATACACATATATAAATACAGAGACAAATATAAATAAATATACAAAGGGATAAATAGAATAAATAGGAATAAAAATAAAAAATAAAAATAAAAATACAAGTGAATTGCAAATTTCGAGTATGGAGTCTATTGCACTGTTGACTTTTAACAAAGGTATTGCACAGTGAGGTGAAGAGGCACTACAGCTTAGTTGTTCCCCCCTCCTTTGTCCTCCTGTTTCCCCTCCCTCTCCCCTCCAGAGAGGAGTTAAACAGTTTGATGGCGTGTGGGACAAAGGAGTTTTTAAGTCTGTTAGTTCTTGTCTTGGGAGAAGCAACCTGTCACTGAACAGACTCTTCTGGTTGTTAATGGCCGTGTGCAGAGGATGCCTGGCATTGTCCATAATGTCCAGCAGTTTCTTTAATGTCCTTTTCTCTGCCACTGTCACCAGAGTGTCCAGCTTCATGCCGACCACAGAGCTAGCCCTCCTGATCAGTTTCTCCAGCCTGGATGAGTCCTTCTTTGCTGTGCTGCTCCCCCAGCACACCACAGCATAGAAAAGTACTCCAGCAACCACCGACTGGTAAAACATCCTCAGGAGCTTCCTGCAGATGTTAAAAGACCTCAGCCTCCTGAGGAAGTACAGTCGGCTTTGGGCTTTTTTATACAGGTGCTCTGTGTTGCATGACCAGTCCAGTTTATTGTCCACCCACAGCCCGAGGTACTTGTACTTGTTGACCACCTCCACCTCCTCCCCCTCTATCTGAACCGGCAGTGGACCTTCTCTGGACCTCCCGAAGTCCACAACCAGTTCCTTAGTCTTTGAGGTGTTGAGTTGCAGGTGGTTTGTGTGACTCCATGCGACAAAGTTCCTCACCAGACTTCTGTACTCCTCTTCCTGATCATCCCAGATACACCCCATGATGGCCGTGTCATCTGCAAACTTCTGAATGTGGCATAATTCAGAGTTGTAGCAGAAGTCAGAGGTGTACAGGGTGAAGAGAAGAGGGACAGCACAGTTCCCTGTGGGGCTCCTGTGCTGCTGACCACAGTGTCAGACGTGATGTCCTTCAGCCTGACGTACTGTGGTCTGTCGGTGAGGTAGTCGGAGATCCAAGCCACCAGGCAGGGGTCCACCTCCATCCTGTTCAGTTTTTCCTGAAGCATACAGGGCCGGATGGTATTAAAGGCACTGGAAAAGTCAAGAAACAGGATCCTGACCGTGCCTTTTCCCCCATCCAGGTGTGAGTGGGCTCTGTGCAGGAGGTACAGGATGGCATCCTCCACTCTGACATCTGCCTTGTATGCAAACTGTAGTGGGTCCTGGGCATGTTGTACCTGTGGTCGGAGGAGGTTGAGGAAGAGCCGCTCTAGAGTCTTCATAAGAATTTGTGCCATTTGTTATATGAACACATGTTGATCAATACTGTTTGAAAATGTAACCATGAGGATCAGTAAGAAACCTTTGATAGTGTTATGGTCCAACAAAACTGTTGAATAGATTAACTGATTAACTGCCTTTCTGTAGACATTCAGACTCACTTTGGCCAAGTTGAGTTTCTTATTTGTTTATGTAAATATTGTTTGGGTCACAAAATGGTGAATAAATCAGTTGCTACACTGGACAGCATCAGTCTCCTGCACTTCTTTGGTCACTTGAGTCAAGTCCTCCCACATGGTGCCATATAAATTATACTGAATATAGTGTTTTCTACCAAGCATTCATACTACAACGGAGGCATCAGGGAGCAACCTGGGGTTAGTATCATACTCAGGAATATTTGGCATTCAAACTGGAGCAGCCAGGAACTGAACCACCAACCTTCCACAAACCTGTGAATCACCTCCCCGCCTGAGCTGACGTTCTCAGATAAAATGTTGATGTCACCTCTGCAGGTCGCAGACAAGTGGCTGCCAGAAATAGAGAAGTTTTACTATTTGGGGTCTTGTGAGGGGAAAACAACTTCTAAAAGAAGAAAACTCATCTACCAGATCTTCTGAAGGTGATTTCATCAAAGACAAGATCTCCACTGAAAGCAGCAGAAAGACGTGCTGAGTGTGAAGCTGTCAGCAGGGGGAATAACACAGGGCTGTGAATGAGTCCTGTCACTGTGATCAGGCTCCTCCTTCTAATCCACCAACTTAGTGTTGATGAAGACTAAACAGAGAGATCACAGCTTCTTTATACTTGCTGTAGCTCACAGTTACTCTACACTGCAGATATGACGCCTCTGTTCATCTCAGTGCTGCTGGCTGCTATGTGCCTCGGTATGAACACAACTCTGTTTCTTTGATATCAACATTGACGTGATTCTTTAACAGCACACTGATACTGTTTGTTGGTGTTTTACAGAATGCAGAGCACAAAAAGACAACGTGCTGCAAGCAAAAGGAGAAGAGACTGCTGCTGCAGGAGGCACAGTAACACTTGGCTGTCAGTATAACACCAGCAGTTTATCAAATCATTATCTCTACTGGTACAAACAGGATGGAAACAACAGCCCCAAATTCATCCTGAGTCGCTTTAAAGTTGGTGAGGGGAAAAACGAGGCTGGAGACAGATTTTCATCCACACTGGATTCCAGCATCAGATCAGTTCCTCTGAAGATCCAGAAGCTTCAGCTGTCTGACTCTGCTGTGTACTACTGTGCTCTGCAGCCCACAGTGACAGGAAACAGCAAAACTCTGTACAAAAACCTTTGGAGCAAAGACAACAGAATACTCCACAACATCCACTAGAGGGAGCCACACACTGTTAAACCTCTGATTCTTGTGTCATTGGACTGATGACAAAGACAACAGAGAAATGAAGCAGTAAAGATCAGAGACAGAGACAGAGCTGCTGTGGAAGCACAAAACTATTTGATTGGCTGAGCTATTAAACTGGCCCCGCCCACTGAACCTGTGCTCATCCAATGACATTATTTGTTGGTCATTGTGCTGCAGTGGAAGAACATTGTTCATGTGCTGTCTGTCTGGCTTTAATAACTCCAAAGACATGTTGCTGCACCTCTTTTTGCTTCTATCTCACATTATAGGTGAGTTTAAGAACAGGGATTAAAGTTTAGTTGAAGCTGCTGCATTAAGCAGATATACAGACTGCATTTCACTACTTTTCTTCTTTCTTTTTCCAGGACTAACAGCTGGAGACTCAATCACTCCTCAACAACCTGAAGTCACTGAAACAGAAGGACAATCTGTCAAACTCACATGTAGCTATGAGACGAGTGTTAGTGATCCTTGGCTTTATTGGTACAGACATCATTCTGACCTTCAGGCTGCTCAGTTTATATTGTGGAAAGGAGCAAGATCATGGAGTGGTGTTCAGTATATTCCTGATAAATGATATGAATCAGAAACATCTTCTACATCAACTAATCTGACCATAGCAGCCCTAACCCTGGCAGACACAGCTCTCTACTACTGTGCTCTACAAACACAGTGATACAAAGTGTAGAAGAGGCTGTACAAAAACCTGAACACAGATATCTGACTACTCTTCAAAGAGGAGGGAAGTGGTATTCAAAGCACAGCTTCATATCAGATGGATTCTGCTAATTCCTGTTTTATCAGAGTCACTGTGGTTACAGCTGCTAATGAAACACTGTGGAGGATTCACATGAGCAGCAAATCCACATCAACCACAAACCAACTGCAGGAACGTTCAGACACAATAAAAACTGTCAAACATCAAAAGCTGCTCATTTACACTATTTTATATTTAGTGGATGAGGACATGCAGAAATGCAGCAGAAGCAAAAATAAACAGAGTAACAGAGGTTTATCTCTTTAAGGTAAAATCTCTCACATGAAGCTAAAAGTCCAACCAGGAAGACCATCTCATGCTTGTTCCATTTATTCTCTTTGAACTCATCACATCAGATGATGATGCTCTCCTTCATCATTGTCCTGCTCTGGTACTTTGTGATGTTCCCCCTCTGGCAGGTCCAGACTCTCCTCTGTGCTTCTGCTCTGAACAACATTTCAGAGGGCCTGGCCTTCTTGAGGTCTCTGAGCAGGATCCTGGACGCTGCATCATCTGGTAACTCTATTGTGCTTCTGAGGACTTTATGTGTCCGAGTGACACAATGGTGGTTTCTGTTTTACTGGACTTGTGTGCTAACCACAGTATAGGTTATGCTTGACTCTGTAATTGCATCATCAGGTCTGCAGCAGTGTGTTCTGGACACTCTGGTGAAGAGAGGAGCTGAGCTGTCATCTGATCACCATCTGGGGGTGAGTTGAGTCAGGTGGTGGGGGAGAATGCTGGACAGGCCTGGCGTATCAAAGTGGTTCAGGTGATCTTCAACTCCCACCTCCAGCAGAGCTTTGGCAGCAGTCTGAGTGAGGCTGGGGACTCATTGCTGATGGGGCTGTGCAGAGCTTTGGCTGCAAGCTGGTTGGTGCTTGTAGTGTTGCTAACCTCCTAACCAGATCTCATTAACTCCTCGTGTTTTGGGGAATGAAAGGTCCAGCTGAAACAGCCACTCTTTGTCAGATTGTTGTCTTCATTCTGGTGGTAATTCAGCTTTAATTTATGACTTATGAGTTTGTGCTTGTAGCTTCTGTTACCTCACCATGTTCTCTTGTGTCTGCTCATAGCTCTGTGGACTTGAGTTACCTGAAACCTGAAGGATTGTCTCATTGTCTGCTGTTTGGAAAGGACTGACTTGTAACAGAGCTGGAAAACTCACCTGCCCATCCACTCTCCACCCACTCAGCCTTCTGAAACCTTCACTTACCTCCCTGACACAGAAACTCTAAAAGTGAAACACAAGAAAGGACTCTAATAAATACTATATAAGCAATTCTGACTGCACTGATACTCAGCAGTTGTTCTCTCGGGCAGTTCTCTGGTGTCTCCCTGCTCTGTCCCTCTGCAGGAAACCTACTTACCTGCCCCCCTGTCTTTGAACCTTCTCAAAATAAAAGCATGTAAAGCTTTAGCCTCATGTGGGCTGCGTTAGAGTCGATGCATTCCTGTAATCATGACACTGAGAGGTTGCTCCAGGGATTTAAATCATGTATTAATCCAGACCCTCCCAAAGTGTGAGGCCCGCCCCCTGGGGGGGGGGGGGGGGGGCGCACAGAGCCATTGCAGGGGGGGGGGGGGGGTATGAAAAAGGGGGGGGGGGGAACAAAACGCTTGGACACTGCTAGCAGGGGGCGCCCACACAAACGCAAAGCAGGAGATGAAGCATCGCTGAATATGTTTCTAAACCAACTTCATTCAAAGACTAGAAAATATGGTGAAGCAAATCTTCCCTTTGGTTTCACCTGCACAGGTGCCGAGGTAGGTCTCCCTGCAGGATTAGTTTCCCTGCATCGAGAGCAGCGCTGGGCTCTCCAAATCACAGACAGGATCCCACAGCTGTTTATGTTTTTAAACCCATTTTGCATTTTTTGAAAAATGTATTGATGCAATGTTGAACATTATTACACAGGAAAAACCAACTACATGTAAAATAATGACACCGTGACGCCTCTGCCTTTGTAAATGGAGGGACAGTAACTGCTGTAAAACCTGCAGACAGTCAGATTAACAGCATTGTGTCTCTATCATTCTGCAATTCATCTCATGTAAACAATAACGTGGCCACAGCGTGACGTGGAAAAAGGCACATACCTTTAAAAAAAAAAATCTCAGTTTTCGGTGATTCGAAACGCCGTTTACGTGGACGAAACAGCTGCGTGTTCAAAAATACCTGTGTAGGTGCGGACGTAGCGTAACAGAGTTAGTAGTTTATTTTATTACTGCCTGTAATTTATTACAGATTACTTGTATTTGCTTAATTGTTTACTAAATGTTTGAGGTGTGAAAGAAACCGCAATGGAGCAAAATATGGGCGTGTGTGGTTGGAGGATGTGTTTGTACGTGTGCGCGCGAGAAGGGTGGGGGGCGCAAACATTTTTCTTGTAAAACAGAGGGGGGCCCAGTAAAAACAGTTTGGGAACCACTGTATTTATCGTAGTGGAGAGAAATTAATATGAATATTTCCTGTGTGAAGATGATGGTGTGATATCAGGGCTGCCACATGAAGGGGCAACGTGAACAAGTTTATGAATACCTCAGAAAAAAAGCTTCAATGAGTATAAATGATCTTCTGATATTAACAATATCCTGGAACACCAACAGAGCAAACCCACAGAGATGCTCCACTGGAGGGCGACATCATCCAGTAGGCGGGGCTCTCCTTCTGCACTGTGTTCAACCATTGTGTCAATAATAAGTGCTGCTGTGAAGAGAACAATTCTCAGACTGAATGTTGAACATCAGCTAGTTTCTCCTGTTGACTTAAACCTTGTTGTACAGATGGAACATTGGCTGTGGATTATTCTTGCTGCTCTTTTCTTTGGTGAGATACAAACATCAACATGTTTCCTCTGCTTAAATAAATGTGTGAGTCTGATTAATGGTGAGTTTTTAATCATGTTTATTGATCCATCTCTTCCTCTGCATGTTCTGTTCTTCCTCAGAGTGTAAAGGAGAAGACAAAGTGATCCAGGAACAAGGAGATGTCATTGCTGCTGAAGGAGACACAGTTACACTTGGATGTCAGTATGAGAGCAGTGTAACAAATAATTATCTCTTCTGGTACAAACAGGATGGAAACAACAGCCCCAAATTCATTCTGAGTCGTGTTAGTGGGGATGATGGAAACACAGTAGACGAGTTCAAGGAGAGATTTTCATCCACACTGGATTCCAGCATCAGATCAGTTCCTCTGAAGATCCAGAAGCTTCAGCTGTCTGACTCTGCTGTGTACTACTGTGCTCTGCAGCCCACAGTGACAGGAAACAGCAAAACTCTGTACAAAAACCTTTGGAGCAAAGACAACAGAATACTCCACAACATCCACTAGAGGGAGCCACACACTGTTAAACCTCTGATTCTTGTGTCATTGGACTGATGACAAAGACAACAGAGAAATGAAGCAGTAAAGATCAGAGACAGAGACAGAGCTGCTGTGGAAGCACAAAACTATTTGATTGGCTGAGCTATTAAACTGGCCCCGCCCACTGAACCTGAGCTCATCCAATGACATTATTTGTTGGTCATTGTGCTGCAGTGGAAGAACATTGTTCATGTGCTGTCTGTCTGGCTTTAATAACTCCAAAGACATGTTGCTGCACCTCTTTTTGCTTCTATCTCACATTATAGGTGAGTTTAAGAACAGGGATTAAAGTTTAGTTGAAGCTGCTGCATTAAGCAGATATACAGACTGCATTTCACTACTTTTCTTCTTTCTTTTTCCAGGACTAACAGCTGGAGACTCAATCACTCCTCAACAACCTGAAGTCACTGAAACAGAAGGAGAATCTGTCAAACTCACATGTAGCTATGAGACGAGTGATGATACTCCTTGGCTTTATTGGTACAGACATGATTCTGACCTTCAGGCTCCTCAGTTTATACTCTGGAAAGGAGCAAAAGACAGCACAAGTGATTATATTCCCAATAATCGATATGGATCCCAAACATCACCTACAACAACTAATCTGACCATAGCAGCCCTAACCCTGGCAGACACAGCTCTCTACTACTGTGCTCTACAAACACAGTGATACAAAGTGTAGAAGAGGCTGTACAAAAACCTGAACACAGATATCTGACTACTCTTCAAAGAGGAGGAAGTGGTATTCAAAGCACAGCTTCATATCAGATGGATTCTGCTAATTCCTGTTTTATCAGAGTCACTGTGGTTACAGCTGCTAATGAAACACTGTGGGAGGATTCACATGAGCAGCAAATCCACATCAACCACAAACCAACTGCAGGAACGTTCAGACATGAAGTTTTCTGTTTCTTTAAAATAAGCTTCAGTTTCTCACTGATTGAATTAAAACTGAATTATCTGGATGTTCTTTCACTCTATTTTTTTTTTTTTTTTTTTTTTTGCCTGTCCCATTTGGTTCTTTAGCTGTCAGAATTGTTGTCTGAAGACCAACAAGGATACCCAATGGATTTACTTTGCCAAATGGATCTTCGTGGCATTGCCGTATTGGTCCATGTGGTCGATCTTTGTTTTTATTATTTATTATATTTTATTTTCAGATGTTACAGATGGGACAGACATGAGTGAGGGATAGGAAAGGGAGAAAGAAAGAGGAAGGTAAGGAAAAACAGAAGGGGAGAGGGACAGTGAGAAAGGGGGGGAGAAAAAAAATAAGAATCTCCTGGATCACCTGTTGAGAGAAGAATAGAAAACAAGCAAAAAAACAAAAAAAAAAAACCAAAGCAACATACCAAACACAACACCATCGCATTAATCTAGCTAAGTGTAAACAGCAGTAAATACTAAATATTCAATGTTGTTGTGCAGCACGCAGGACAGATGTGCTTCGAAGTAGCAGCCAAGAAAGGTGTAATTTAAGTCTACGAGCAGTGAACACCCGTGTGCATACCTGTGTGGATCAGCGCGCTTGTATTCCAAAGGTTTCTCCATGTAACGATCTGCTAGGGAGTATGGGGGGGCCACAGCCCCGTCCTCCAGGGTATGAAGCAGGTATGGAGGAGATCAAAACTCCAGACATCCAGAGGCCCCCAGAACACAACAGACCAAGGAAGACCAACAGAGGGGCAGCCGCGCCACTGTCCCAACAAGAGCCACCTCCGAAGTGGCCCGAGCGAGCCCCAGGTTCCAGGCCCCGATAAGCGGCCGCCAAGGAGTGAGCCGGTGTGTACCTGGACGCCCACCCCCAGACACAAAGAACCACCAACGCACCGACACCTGAGGGAGTCCGCCACCGGCAGGGGAAGTGGTGGTGGGTGGAGATAGGCCTCCAAACCTTGGAGGGCCTGAGGTGTCCCAGAGAGGTGGTGTCTGACACCCAACCTGACATATAGACACAGACATACAGGCACACACAGATACAAACATCCATTCCCACCCTCATGCTCTCATATGCACTTACTTCACACTCAACCAACGTGGAGACAGACATAAAGAGACGCTGTACACACGATCACACTCCCCAAGCGTACTCTACAAACCGGTTCTAGGTACCCTTGCCCCTGGAGGGGGGAACTGCACCCAGACCCAGGTGGTGTTACCCTTTTCCCTGCGGTGGGGAGAGGCAGACCGCCCCGACTCCGTAGCAGCAGGGAGGCCCCACACCCCAGACCGCAGTCGGACGGCCAACTCCTCCTAGCCCTCCCGCTCCAGCAGGCCGCAGAGAATGGGGTGAGAGAAGACTCCAAACCTCCCTCCACCCGCTCATTGTAGTGTTGATGCATGTGTGTTCTAAGGTGCAATTAAAACCCAGGAGGGCATGGATGTTCTTTCACTCTAAAACATTAGTATTTTGCTGCAGGGCGACTTGCATGTGACAAATAAAGGCTTTCTTGAATCTTGAGAAACAGGTGCAGCAAGGTATAATACACAAATATATGAGTGGAGTCTTATGTCCTGACAGGTGTGCTCTCCCGTCACAGAAAGAAGAGTTTCTGTACAGAGGAGAGTAGGAATCATTTCCTGATTTTCTTCTTTATGTCAGTGAGGTTGAATCAGCCTGAGGGAGAAGGAGTTCTGCTGCCTCTAAGGTTGAGTGGATCAGGTGTGATGGGTTGTCCATGATGGAGAGCAGTTCAGTAACCGCTGACCCTCACTGACTTAAATACATCCAAATTCTGACCAATCATGTTTCCAGCCTTGTGAAGGTTGTTGATCCTGATGTATCACTGGCACTGCTGCTGCCCTGAGCTTCCTCTTGTACAGCATCACTGTTGGTCCTTCAGCCCAGTCTGTCATTCAGGTGAAAACCCAGGTACCTGCAGCTATCCACTGTTTCTGCTTCTTCACACATGATGCTGATGGGTCTATTTGCAGTTTTTATCCTCCAAAATCAACCACCATCTCTTTTGTCTTGTTGACAAGGCAGAGCATCTTATAGTGAAGGAGGATGATGATACCTTAATGGTGACTCTTACTTATGGGGAAAGTGACAGTGAAACAGAGCTGACATGATTTATTCCGGACAGCTCCACAAAGTTCTCCACCAGCTCCCTGTACTCCGACTCCTGCCCATACTAAACACACCCAACTGCAGAGTCACTAAGACTTCTGCAAGTGGCACGTTTCACTGTTGTACTGGAAATCTGAGGTGTACACGGTAAACAGGAATGGAGATAGGACCATGCCTTATGGTGCCCCAGTATTACTGATCACCCCAGACAAAGAGCCGCTCAGCCATACAAACTGAGGCATCTCTGACAGATAATCAGCAATCCAGGAGACAGTAGAAGTGGTAACACCCATTCTGAGCAGCTTCTCACTCAGCAGAAGTTGTTTTATTGAATCAAAGCCACTCAAAAACAAAAGGATTCTCACAGTTCCACCAGTACCATCCAGGTGAGAGTCAGCATGCTGCAATAGGCAGAAAACACCATGACTCAATTCAATTTTATTTATACAATGCCAAATCATAACAACAGTTGAGTGTCGCATGAATCCAAACTGGAAGCTGGTCCACAGAAGAGGGGCCTGAAAACTGAAGGCTCTGCCTCCCATTCTACTTTTAAATACTCTAGGAACAACAAGTAGGCCTGCAGAGCGAGAGCGAAGTGCTCTAATAGGGTGATATGGTACTACAAGGTCATTAAGATAAGATGGGGCCTGATTATTTAAGACCTTGTATGTAAGGAGCAGGACTTTTTCCCCGTCTGCAAGTCTAAATATCTTTAGTCAAGATACTAACCCCATGGTGCTCTCCAATGCATCCATCTGTGTGTGAATGTTAGATAGAAAGATCATAGAAGTGCTTGTGTGATTGAGGCAAGCTATACCAGTCCATTTATCTAGAAGAGACACCAGTACAAGATAAATCTGCTCTCTCTTTCTAGTCCCTGTCAGGACTCTTGCTGCAGCATTTTTGGATTAACTGAAGGCTTTTTAGGGAGTTTTTAGGACATCCTGATAATAATGAATTACAGTCGTCCAGCCTGGAAGTAATAAATGCATGAACTAGTTTTTCAGCGTCACTCTGAGACAGGATGTCTAACGAGCTTGGAAAGAAAAGAGTCTGCTTGAAGACGTTTCACCTCTCATCCGAGAAGCTTCTTCAGTTAAACTAACTGAAGAAGCTTCTCAAGCAACTTAAAGAAGTCCAGACACTTTTCTTTCCAAGCTCCTTAGACTACGATGACCTGGATGACTGAGAACCTTCACAGACATCTGAGACGGGATATTTCTAATTTTAGAGATGTTGCACAAATGAAAAGAAGCAGTCCTACATGTTTGTTTAATACAAAGATCCAACCATGCAAAATATGATTTTTTTTTTTGCCATTTTTTAAGAGGTCTTGAACTTTTGATCATGATTGTGTGTGCATTGAAGGGCATATACTGGTAAAACATTACTCCAAGGTTCTTCACAGTGTTACTGGAGGCCAAGGTAATGCCATCCAGAGTAAGAAACTGGCTAGATACCATATTTCTTAGATTTTCAGGGCTGAGTACAATAATCTCAGTTTGATCTGAATTAAGAAGCATAAAATTAGATATCATCCAGGTATCTTATGTTTTTAAGACATTCCTTCAAATTGATTGGTGTGTGTTATCTGGCTTTATGGATATATAAAGTTGGGTTTTGTCTATATAGCAATGAACATGTATATTATGTCTTCTAATGATACTGCCTAAGGGAAGCATGTATGGTGTAAATAGAATTGGTCGTAGCACTGAACCCTGTGGAACTCCATAATTAACCTCAGTGTGTGAAGAGGACTCTCCATTTACATGCACAAACTGGAGTCTATTAGATAGATATGATACAAACCACTGCAGCACAGTACCTGTAACACCTACAGCATGCTCTAATCGCTCTAATCCGATTGTTAAGTGATGACGTGATGAATCCTACTTCCGGGTCTAAAGTAGTCTGCGTTTAATATGGCTTTTGTGTTGTTAACATGTTTAATGTTTTGTATTTTCTTCTATTTGATCTCAAAAAGCTCCTAAAACAGTCAGTGATCACTGTTGACCTCCCTCGGCTTTTATTACCGCT